CCAGATGCCCACAAGCCGCTGCCTCCAACCACTGTTTACCCTTCCTCTCAGCTATGAACACAGCAAAGGGCGGAAATGATCTGAAGAGCAGGTTTCCTTTCAAATAAACACACTACCTCCCTCCCTCCCTCTCTCTGTCTCTATGTCTCTCTCTCTCTCTCACACACACACACACATATGCACAGAGAAAGAGAGAAGAGGGAGATTAATCACTGGCAAAATGAGAAACGGCATTGTCTGTATTTCAACAAATGAATGCCGTGGATTTCATTTGGAGCATCTTAAAAGGAAGAACAATTTCCGTGTAACTCTGCTCATTCATTTTTCATTTAATTTTATTTATATTGCACTTTATTGAAAAGGGAAAAGATATAGGATACACCAAGATGCTCAATTATTTAACAGATCATACTTAACATTATATATTTTAACACAGACCCATACCAACAATTGTTCTCATGAGCTTTCTGAGCCATTTAGCTGCACTGCTCTCTTTCTAAATCAAATATAAGTAATTTGTTGTCATAGCAATGCTTCTTCCTACTCCAAAATAGTTCAATACATGCTTTGTTTCAGCAGGCAACTATCTGTCTACCAAAAATTGGTCATTATCTTCCATCTTCTTGACAAATGTCTTATTAAATTTAGCTGCCTGGCTTTTACAATCATCAGGAGACAGTATTTCTATGCCACTTCCTGGCACCTGTACAGGAAAGGGGCTTACAGGACCTCTCAATAACTGCCTGCAAGCATATCACAGCAAAGGCACTGGGTGACAGCCAATCTTAGAAGTCATGATGACAACCATCCTTAGCATTATTACCCAGCTTGTACAGTTTATAGAGCACTGTCACTTATTTTACTGTATTCGAGGCAGGGCGAGGTGCTACCCATAATGCTTCTGTTACACCCTACACCACCATTAGTTCCTTATTTGTAGGCATCACTAGAGGAAGTGACATTTGTTCTATCCCTTCTTTTCTGAGGCTGAGTTCTGATCCTCCATCCTTCTGATGAGGTATATAATATGGTAATGAGGACAATTAAATTAAAAGTTGCTGGAATTACAGCAACAACAGAGCCATGGAATATCGTTTTGTCAGGACCTTGTGTGATGGTCCAGCGATGCTATCAGACAAACGAGAGATCACGTGGCAGTGAGTGCCAGTGTTAATGCTAATCTTGTATGTGTGGTGCATGTTACAGTTTATTACCCAGTCTCATGGAAGTGATATAACTTGAACCGTACCACTTTGCCACCCATCCCCCCAACACATACAAAGACAGCTGGATCAGAGTATCTGCACCTACAACCTTATTCTCTGCCTTATCCATTGATATTATAAATAAATATATATTATATATATAAATACATATATATAATATATATTATACATTTACACACACACACACACTCACACGGCTAGAGAGATGGCTCAGTGAAGAGCATTGCTGCTCTTCTAAAAGACTGGGGTTCAATTCCCAGCACCCACATGTGGATCACAATGGGACCTGATGCCCTCTGCTGGCCTCCAAGGGCACCAAGCACAAACATGACACAAAACACCCTCACATATAAAATAATTAAATAAACATCAAAAGTGCATATGCATGACTAACTGTTGTTTTGAATTGCTGTTCCTTCAAGCTCTGATCTTTATCTCATGCAGCTATGATCTGTAGTATCTGCAGCCCTCCTCCCTCCACCAAACTGGGTGGCTTTCATCCCACGCTACACTTCTGTGAGAAATACAAAGCAACATTTGCCAAGGCCTTTTCAGAGACAATGGGGAAAATAGATCTCCAGGAGCAACTCCTTTCATTTATCCATCCTCTATTTTTACTTACGATCATTTTTGTTGCTGTAATCAAAACTAGATAAAAGTTTACTTCATAAAAACCAAGATACTGAAAGCGGAGGCTCATTGTACTGACATGAAATGACACTGGCTCACCTGCTCCCGCTTCTCGAAAATTCTCTGCGGGGCAAGGAAGATGACAAGAGAGAGCTTATTTGGGAAATGCAATCAGAACTAGGAACTGCCCTAACAGAGCCTGAAAATAAGATTTCACAGCACCGTGTAGGCTCAAGAGCTGAAGCTGAAAACTTCCATTCCTGGCCGGATGTGCTCAAATGCAATTTGCCTCTCAGTAGGACTTCCCACTTCACATAGTCTGATTCCGTTCAAAAATCTAATAAAAAGAGACAACAGTTGCCATCATTTCAGTCACTTGGTCCTTATGAACACTTGTCTTCTACGGATTGTAGATGCTTCTTCTTTCTCAGCAGATTGAGCAGAAGAGATTATTTAGAATACCAATGTAACTATTATCTCAATTTTCCCACACCTCACACCTGTCATATAATTATAGCCCCAAACCTAAAAGGAAGAGAGCAAAGTCACAAGATTTTGGTCAACTCTCAAAGAAAAGACAAGCAATTGGAAGAAGCCTATGGGTCAGAAGCCTGTCTCAGCTTCTAGCCATTAAGGCCAATGAACAACAAAGCTTTGGCCCCCAACTCCATGCCCAAATCCTAAAGTATGGAGCTTTACCAGTGTCTGAATGCTGATGAAAAGCCTCAGACACTTGGAGGATATGAGGTGGTCCATTTTGTCTGGCAGTGCCAAATTTAAAAATTTACTATAAGCCTTTAGCTGAAAATGTGCAGTTTTGACTTTAAATGTGTTTCTTCCCTGGGGTTCAAAATCCAATTTACCCAGCCCACCTAGAAGGATGCTTTTGTTACCACCATGCCACCCTTATTCATCTTCTATAGACCAAGTTGCTATGAGATGCCTATATAAAATATGTGATAAATGAATATGAAAAAAATAAGTAACTTATTACTCCTAATAATAGTCCTAAGATACATATCATAAAAATTGGCTAAAAGAAGAAACAGATAAATCCACCCTGTGACAGCAAATCTTAACAGCTTTTCCAAATGGTTGGTATACTGAGCAATTTCTATAAAATTCTAACAAAAAAATCAAGTAAGATTCTTATTCCCATGCTAACTATTGGTGAATTTAGAAAAGGAAGAGACATTTACCCCACCCATTATATGAAGCTAGTAACATAAACTTAATACCAAAACCTGAGAGAAACAAGACAACAAAGGAAAACTGGACGCAGATTCACTTAGGTACACAGCTACCAAATCACCAAAACATTAGCAAGCCATAACCAGGAATAATAAAGAAGATAATACATCATAATCAAGGTGACTTGATTCCAAGAATGCAAAGTCAGTTTAATATTAGACAATCAATCAATGTAATCCACTACATTTAAAGCCTGAAAACAAAAGCGATATGATCGTCCCAATTTTTTACAAGTCTGTTAAACTGCAACATCCATTCATGATTCATTTTTTTTTTAGTCTTAGCAAAGTTGAGAACAAAAGGACCTACTATAACCTAATGTGTATCACTGAACAAATCTACAGCAATGCCACATGGAGTGGCACAATACTCAAGTCATATCCTTTAAGGTAAAGAACAAGATAAGGGTATGAACTGTTGATAGTCTACTAAACATGGTACTAGAACAGTAAGACCACAAAGAGAAATATTAAAGGTGCTAGAGAAATGACCCGATGGTTAGGAGCACTTATTGCTCTTGCAAAGAATGAAGGTTCAGTTCCCAGCACCCACATGGTAGCTCACAAGTACCTGTAACCCCAGATCAAGGGGGGGATTCAACAGGTATGCACACGGTGCACACACATGTATACAGGCAAGACATTCATATACATAGATAAAAATGAGTAAATCTTAAAATCACAAGAAACATCAAAATACAAACTAGCTGCAAAGGAAGCCACAGGTGTCTCATTTGTCAATTATATATGATTACCAACACAGATAACTTAAAAGAATCCAAGTAAATTAGTTATCATTAACTTAAAAGTACTTAGCAAGGTTTGTAGCTAGATCATGAACAAAAATCAGTCGTACTTCTAGGCACCAGCAACTAACAAAATTACATACCAGTTAAAAGCAAAAAGGTAGTAAATATCTGGTTATGCCCCTAGGCTCTGGGTCCAGACCATCTGTTTCCTAATTCAAATTCTAACCGATAAGTTACATGACTCTGGACAAGCTAATTCTCTTTAAGAACTATTATGAGTATTAAATGAGCTAAGGCACATGAAGTACTTAGAAGAGCGCCTAGGAAAGTCAGAGATAACTAAATGGTGCTTATGATGACTGCGATGAGGCAGCTAATAGCCCTAGGACCCTAGCTCTACTGGACTCCAAAGCATCTCCAGGGATGAGAGTCGGAGAGTGATGTCACAAGAGTCAGTGAAACTTGTCTGTGTTTTCCCAAAGGGTGGGCACTGAGCTCCCACACCCAGCATACAGCTCATTACCCACACACCCTACTGTCTATAGAGTAATTAGCAGAAGAACACACCCTCTCTCTGGAGATTTCTGCCCTAATCTTACCAGCTCTTTAACTGGCAGTAAAAGTCAACAACTTCAAGTTTCCTAGGAAAATGAAATCCAGACTTCCTGGTGGATACCCTTCATTATCCAAAGAAAAGGCTTATCTCACCCCCACTGAGACGGAAGTCAGGGGCAATCCCTGGGTTGTCAGAGGAAAGGTGAGGCTACTGACTCCATAAGCCAGGGCTGTGGTGCACTTCTAATACATATCACACAGTACCTACCCTCAGGGCCTTAGAAAGAGTAACTCTTGGGGGGGAGGAACAGACTCAAGCTATTGAGAGTATGTGCTGCTCTTCTAGAAGATCCAAATTTGATTCCTTGCACCCATTGTCAGGAGGCTCATAACCATCTGTTTCTCTAGCTCCAGGGATCCAGTGCCCTCTTCTGGACTCCACAGGTGCCTCCACTCATGTGCACTTACCCACTTACAGACATAATAAGAAGACCTTTAAAAGAAAAAGAACCATTGACTGAAATCTCAAATAACCTGATGCAGTAGATAGACTTGCAGTATGTGCCAGGACGTACTTCATCGGAACCTACCTGTTTGGTCTTCCATGCCTGGTCCCCTGGTAGAAGACGGTGTTCCTTCTCCATACAATACATAAACCATTTGACCTTATAAAAAAAAAGCCTGAATGTTGCGAGATATCTGATTACACTGTGTAAAGATATGTCACCGCGAGAGGTTTAATAAAAAGCTAAACGGCAAATGACTAGGCAAGAGTTATAGGAGGGACTTCCAGACGGAGAGCTCTGGGAAGAAAAGGGGAGTCACCAGCCTGACACAGAGAAAGCAGGACATGCAGGAGGAGGGGTAAAAGCCACAAGACACATGGCAACACGTAGATTAATACAAATGGGTTAAGTTCAATTATAAGCACTAGTTAGAAACAAGCCAGAGCTATAGGCCAAGCTTTCATAATTAACAAGTCTCCTTGCCATTCTCTGAGAACTAGTGGGACAGAGAAAGTCTAAAGATGTGTATAAGGCAGCAAAGAAGGAGAAAGTGCCCAGCCTCCCTGCAATGCCGACACCTCTTAAACCAATCCTTTGTTATACATGTTCTAAATTTCTATCAAGCCCAATTTTAAAAAAAAACCAAGACTTATGGGCATAAGAACACCCCCCTCACACACAACCCCCATAGTAATATTTTTTTCTTTAAATCAAAGCTTTAGGACTAGGGATGAAGCTTAATTATGGAGTTCTTGCCTAGTATGCAGGAAACCCTGAATTCTACACCTTTTACCACATAACCCTGGAACATGCCTGTAATCCCAGCACTCGGGAGGTAGAGACAAGGAGGATGTGGAGTTCACTACCATCCTCGGCTATATAACAAGTTCAAGGCCATCCTGTATTCTGTGAGACCATGTCTCAAATGAGAAAAAAAAATCAAAACTATCATTCTTCTAAATGGAGTGTTGGGGTTTTACAGATTATTAGCCTTAGTGATATTTAAGAGAAAATAGACAAGAAAAAAGAAAATTACACTAGAACTAGTTATGTAGTTTGCAGAGAGATAGTAAACATGTACATGAGCCATTGTTTAGACTATTCTCTTCTTGAAGCAAAGCTCTCATGCAAAATAGAACACACATCCTTGTAATTCTAACATAGAGTAATAAAATAGGAGTATCTCATACATATTTAAGTCCCCTGTTAACTTTCAGCCTTTATTTGATGTTTATAACTATCTCTTTAGAGATCATGGCCCTGAAATTAAGCAACAACAGCCACTTTAAGAAAACACTTCCTGACGTGGGACTAACAGCAAAAAAAAATCCATTTCGATATAAAAAGCCCACTGGAAAACCAAAGCATGTGTAACTGGCTGAGCATGCTGAAGCCATGCAACTCCACCATCCAGAATGTATCATTACATTCTTCCCCATTCTTACATTTGGTCCCCCATCCGGTTCAGTTTTTCGATTCTACGAAAAAGCAAGAAGTGTCCTGATGTCATCACATATTGACTATGTCAATATTGCCTGCTCCAACTCTCCCACAGATAAAGAAACTGAGTCTCAAGGAAGGGAAGTGACTTACGCGACACAGCAGGTGATGGGTAGGTCTCCTCAAACAGTTGGTCCCCCAGTACAGAACAGATGTCTTCTGACAAGTTCTCTAAAAAAGCTTACAGAAAATTGTCAACAGGCTCACCACAGATACAAAAATCTAACTGCGGAGGTCCTTTAATGGTAGGTTCTCTTACTTTAGCACATATAGACCAACCGTAACCAAAAAGTAAACCAAAGACAGGCGGTGGTGGCGCACACCTTTAATCCCAGCACTCAGGAGGCAGAGGCAGGCAGATCTCTGAGTTTGAGGCCAGCCTGGTCTACAAGAGCTAGTTCCAGAACAGGCTCCAAAACTACAGAGAAACCTTGTCTTGAAAAGAAAGTGTTTTTCCCAAAAGCAAATCAAAAAAGAAAAAAAGTACAAAGTCCAAAATTTTTTTGTGTGCTTACATGATCTGGCAGTAAAGCATATGCAAGGAATCCAGAATCTGAAAACCTCTGAAATCTCAACTACTTCTTTTCCCAAGAATTGTACAGATGAAATAGTCAACCTCTATTTAACCACATTAGCTTTGGGATCAACCAGATTTTAACTATTCATACCAGTTCGGCCACTTCCTCCCTGTGTGACTTCAGACACACTGTTTAACCAATGGGGACTTTACTTTTTTGTATGTAACCTGGAAAGGCCAATTCATGTATCTGTGCATTCCTCAAGAAGCCTACCTGGCAAATGGTATTCTTCACCAAATGTCAGTCAGGACTACCACCTCCTCAGCATTCTGTGTGAGAAGACGACTCAGGAAGTTCAAGTCCATCCTATCAACTTCAGATTACACCAGCCTAATCCAAGAAAACCCCAAACTTGGGTCTGAACTTCTGACCAACAAGGAATAAGGACCTCAAAACAAAAAAAAAAAAAACCTGATGATTCTAGCTGATACCATTGCATTCATTCTTGGGCCCATAGAAAACCAGACACCTTCAGTCTCCTAGGTACTTTTCACAAAAGGAAACTATAGAAAAAAAGGAACTGGGGCCAAGAGGGATCAGAAACACACCAGGCCTGGGAAAGAGCCTTAGAAGCAATCGAAACGAACTCTAAGAAACGAGAGTCCCAGCTACTCTAGTTAAGGAGAAAGCAGCCATACTTAGTCTTTGATAAGGCAGTGCTATCTTCTGGGCAAGGTCTTAAGAAATGAGATGGCTAGCCAGGCACTAGGGAGGCAGAGGCAGGGAGGTCTCTGAGTTTGAGGCCAGTCTGGTTTATGGAGCAAGTTCCAGGACAGCCAGGGTTGTTAAACAGAGAAAAATCCTGTCTCAAAAAAACAAAAAGAGAAAGATAGAGAAAAATGGTTGCCTGGGGAGGGGTGTCATTTTCTTCAGTGATAGAAGCAGACTTGCTCATGCTCCAGTAAATAACATCCCACCCACACTCGCGCAGGGAGCTCTAATTAAACTCAGTGGGTCACACACAGAAAGCCATGAAAGTAGGTGAACGACATATTGGGAAGAAGATGGGTTTTAGGCGGAGAGGAGCAGGGATGATCACGGGGAGCGAAAGGTGAAAAGGCCTCTCATTATACACATATCTAAAACTGGTAAAAACCAGACACAGGCATACAAAGAAAGAAATTTCAGTCCTTCTCTCCCGCCCCCAAAACACAAGGAAGCCTGGAAGCATAAAGCACAAAATGGAATTCTCATTAAACTTTTAAGATGGGACATTAGGTTCACTCATCCTCCAAATGAGACAAAGTGTCATATAACCTCAAAGGGTGGTGGCCTGAGAGACCAGTCATGACTCTGCTACTCCCAAGTGGTGTGGCCTTGGGCAAGTAGCTTCCTCTCTGAGCTTCTTTGCCCATCTGTAAAACAAAGGTCATGAACTACAGGAACTCAGCCCTCCCCTACCTCTCCCATTTTCTGGACAAGAATTCAGTATGAACCTGCCACCTAAAAATGCAGTAATGACTACAAATGAGCCTTGACAATAAATTCCCTGGAGGCAGAAGCAAGCACCGTGGCTTCTCCCACTTCCCATGCTGGGCCCCGAGTAATTGCTTAATAACTGTTAAATGATGTAGATTCACCACACAGTACTTAGCATATAAGAAGCTTTTTGCATGCCAAACAGGTCTCCTCAAACCTCTCTCCCACCAGACTTTTTGAATATGGCAGATTTTTTTTTTACCACCCCTGGGCTTTTAATACAAAGAAGCATTGCAAAAGAAAACAAAGTTCCTTGTCACATTATGTGACAGTGATTGAACAGCTAGGTAGCACAGATTTTGCTCGTTTCCCCAGTACGGAGCAAATCCGGGCCTGAGCGCTGGTACCCCACCCATCCTACAAGTTGTATGATTCAGGGTGAGTCACAGTTAATGTAGCTCATTGCTAGGCCCCACAAAGGCAATGACTATTATGGAAGAACTCTTGAAGGACATCATAGGTCTGACCTCACTCAAGACAGAGGCAGAGCTCACACAATGAGAGGAACCACTTAGACTAACAGTGGAGCCCAACGGCTTTGGGAATGCAGAGGAGAAAACACCAGTGTTGAGATAGATTATTCAACACACAGACACAAATGTCCCAGTTTAGGCTCTGAATTTAACCCATTAATCCTGTCTGCTGACCGGAATCATGTGAGGAACTTTAAAAGATGCCTATATTCAGGCCTCAGCCCAGATACATTTAAGAACAGGGTAGAAAGCCAGACATGGTAGTACACACTTTTAATGCCAACATTTTGGGGTCGCTGACAGGCAGATCTCTGTGCATCTGAAGCCAGACTGCCCTAAAAGGTGAGTTCCAGGATAGCCAGGGCTACAAAGAGACCATGTCTCAGAAAGGAGGGAGGGAGGAAAGGAGGGAAGATATATCAGTTACTCAACTGTCCTGAGTGAGAGCTCTTCATTTTCTGGAAGCTTCTATACTCCTTAAACTGGTATTTCATATATCCCCTTCTCATCTCCTCTATCCTGTTTCATGCTGACACTTCCACACAATGGTGGGTGCTACAGGATCTTGTCTACCTCAGAGCACCAAGTCAGTCAGTCTGTCTACCTCAGAGCACCAAGTCAGACAGTCTGTCTGTCTACCTCAGAGCACCAAGTCAGTCTGTATATCTATATATCTCACAGCACCAAGTCAGTCAGTCTGTCTGTCTGTCTGTGTGTAGGGGGGGTGGATCTGTTTGTCTCTGTCTCTCTCACAAGACGCACACACATATACACATACACACACACACACACAATTACTTTTTCAATTCTATCTTCTTCAGTCCCTGCTTGCCTCTAGAGGGAACTTATCTACTCTTCTACAAATCTCTTGGCTCAACTTCCCGACACTGAGTAACTGCTTGGTTTGGGGAGTCATCTTCCACTATCACCAGCCCTGGTACCACCCAGGCAGCAAGGCACCTGTGGCACAGCCTCCCATATACTGGATGTTTCCTCAGTTGCCAAATCTTTCTTCCATTGGATCTTTTATGATGACCATGCCCTCAAGCTACCAATCACCTCCTTTCTTTAGCCCTATTTTTTCAGGCCTTAGTGATAGATCCTCAAATGGCTTCATGCATGTGAAACATGTGTTCCACCACTGAGCTACCCCCCAGCATCCTTCGCTCCTTTAAATATTTTGCATGCGTCATTGTTCTCGTTATTTTATTTTGCTAGGGATAGAGCCCAGGGCCTGACACATGCTCGGCAAATGTCCTACCACTGAGCTACTCCCGTAAGCCTAAACATTTTTCCTAATTACTGTTGAAAATCTGAGCTCACAGCAAATACACACAACATAGGATGGTAGCAAATAAAAGTTTAGAGTGGGTCCCTTCCCCCAACCACTCAGGAATAAGCACTCTTTGGGATATGTTCTTCCAGACTTTTTAAGAGTGTGCTCATTAGGAAATGCACCTAAAAAGGGGTTTTCTCTCATGCATATCGTTCTGCTACTTTCCTTTTCGTTTTAATAATGTACAGTGAGCAGCTTTCAAAGTGGTTACAGAAGCCTCCTTTGAAAGCCACACACTATTCACTGACCTGATTTACCATTCGCCTACTGATGGATGCATTCCCAATGCTCTCTGTTTACCAACTGCCATAAAGAGCCACACACACAAAGGTCTTCACACATTAACATTTATAGGGTAAATATTTAGAGGTGGGTGGAGTGGTTGGCAACAGAGGACAAGCCTTTTCTTGAGTCCTTCTGGGCCTCCGTCTCAGCACTGCTTGGCAGAGGATCAGCCCCTTTGCTGAAACTCTTGCCACTCCTGGGTATCAATCACCCCACTTCCCTGGGTGTCTTTCCATTTCCAATATGGTTGCTGCTTTGCTGAACCATCTTTCTGTCCCTAAAAGGAAACATTCCCTAGAATATTCTTCCACTTTCATTTGAGCTTCAAGGATGTACCTTGTCTTTTCTTCCTTTATATTCTTGAGGCAAATGCCGCCTTAACTGACATTTCTAGTCCTCACCACACCTCAGTTGCCTAGGGAATATTCCAGCCTCAAAGGTCTGAATGTCTCAAACATCTGAAATTTAAACAAACCCCAAAATGTACTCATGACCTTTTTCTCTAAGCCCATCTCTTCATTTGAAAAGCAAAGGGAAGGAACAAAACTCAATTAACTCAAAAACAAATTTCAATGGAAACAGGAAGGAGCCAGGGATACAGGACAACTGATAGACAGTGCTTGGAAGGTGCCAAGCCCCCAGCATCACACAAACTCAGTATGCTCACACAGGGCTATGATCCCCAAAGGCCTGGAAACCCACCACTCAGAGACAGAAGCGGGAAGATCAAATGTTCAAGGCCACCCATAGGGCCTTACAGTTTGAAGCCTGTCTGGAGGTGGAGGAAGAGAGGGAGGGAAGAAGAGGGGGTTACCTAGGGTGCACCAGAATTTGTAACAGAAAAATTAACTTCACCTCACATTTAAGGGACATAAACTCTGAGGAAGGGACATAACATAAACAGTTACATAACATAGGGCAAAATAACATGCTAAAATAGACGAGAATCATTAAATCGGGCTTGGAAGCCGAGACAGCTTCATGGTGACTGTCTGGCCCAGGTCTTGAATGATGACTAGC